AACGCATATCGAAAATTTAATAGAAAACCGCCCGCCATTTTGTAGATTTGAATTTTTTTTCTTTTTTGGACTTGGACCTGATAAAACCTGATATAACGATTGAAATGAAGGCACTTGAAGAATTTTTTAAAATTAAAATATATAAATCGTTAATTATTTCGTTGGGAAATTAACATCTAGATTGATTTCTACTTCCACGATAAGAAAAAGGGTATCGTTAATTTTTTGACGTGTACCTGCCGATCGACATCTTTAAAACTCGTCTAACTCGTCATGATTCGAACAAGCAAAAAAAAAAAAAACCACAACCTCGTGAAAATAAGTTTCACTTTTACAAATTTTTCCAACGGACAAATTTTCCGCGTTTTTCGATCGCGTTCGTGCCATGAAAAAAAAATGGGGGGGGGGAATGTTTGCATGTGACAGTTTCAAATCCTTTCAAAATAATAATGTCTACGACACAAATATAAATTTATCAAATTTTTTTTCTTCCACTTGCTTAATAATTATATAATAATTTTTTTTAAACAATAAAAGAAAAAATTTTTTAACGAACACTGAAACAAACAACAACAACAACACGACAATAACAAACGAGATAAATCGATCGAAACAATCGAACAATCGTTTCTATAAAAATCCCTTACCGAACATTAATTTTAAAAATATAATTATCAACCGTTAAAAATTTTATTCTACGAATATTCGTTCGATCGTTTAACGCGCGAAAATTTAAATTTTTATCCGTTCGCGAATGCCGACGGCGGATGAATTTTTCCTATTGGTTCTTATAAAAATGAGATGAGGAGGAGGAAGGGAGGGAGGGGAGGGGAAAGAAACGAATGAAGGCAAACGGACATCTTTTTCCAAGAAATTTTACTTCCCCATCCCACTTTCTCCTCCCCTCCTTCTCCTTTTCTCGTCGCGTACGAAATAATTTTAATCGTCGTCAATTTTTGTAACCGTCAACGAAACAAATATGAAAAAAAAATTTTTTTTTTTTTAATATTATTTTTCATGCTAAATAGACTGTAAATAATTGATAAAATCAATAAAAGTTTGAACTTTTGTAAACGATAATTAACTCCATGTTTCAATTATTCTAACGTTGTAATTGTAATTATTAAACGAATAAGAAAAAACAATATGTCTTCTAGAACTTTCGTACGATTTCCATTCGCACTCAACGCAAACCCTTTCGACAAAAAAAAAAAAAATTTTCTATCCATAAACTTAATTAATTAATAAATTACAATTACTATTATTATTATTATTATTATTAACATCGTCGGGCAAGGTTTTTTCGATAACCTCCTTCTGCTCTCGCCTCCCCCCCCCCCGTCCGCTCGTCTATAAAACGTTCAGAAACGATTCAGTAAAAAAACCGTTAAAACGTTCTTTTGTTAAACGTTTCAAATTTTTTCTGTTAAAAAATAATAATGATGATAATTAGAACGTTTTATATATTCGCGACAGTTTTTACCCTCCCGTCGGATGATTAATAATAATAATAATAGTGAAAACAATAAGTTTGAATAATTTTAAATATAAATTATAAAAATAAATTTTAATGTTTCTTACCGATTAATTAATTAATTAATTAATAATTTAATAATAAATAAAAAAATAATTAATAAATTGTGTTGTATTACACACACACACACACGACTACGCGCGCAACGATTACACCCGAAATAAAGAATAAAACAAATCGAGTGTCGCGGAGAGTTCAAGACCTTAACACTGTTCCACTATTTTAAAAGGATTATCGCGATACGATGCATGATGTGACGTCACAATTTCTTTTTTTTTTTTTTTAGGCCCGAATTATTATAAAATTTTATTTAAACGAACAAACGAAAAAACAAACAAACGAACGAAAACTTTGCAAATTTTATCTTTTTCTAAAAATTAATAATATTAAGACAAAAAAAAAAAAAATGCTTTATACGCGTTTTGTTATCGAAACGCGCGTCCGCACGCACGCACGCACGCAGGCAAACTGAAAAAAAAAAAATCCGTTGGAAAAAACTTCGGGTTTCGTACATTATGACGTCACATCAACTAGTTCGTTCCGGAACGAAATTTGAATTTGCAAAAATACAAAAAAAAAAAAAATATACAAAACTTTTTTTTTTAAAAATAAATATTTAGCATCTTAATAATTAAAAAAATATTTTCATTTCGTTAAACAAAAAAAAAACAATAATAATAATAATAGTAATAATAATAATAATAACTAAGACGACAAAAAAAAAAATTCGAAAACAAAAAAAAACCGTTAAAATTTTTTTCTTTTTTTATTTTGAAAACAATGTAAATACCAATCAAAAGAAATTATTCCCGATTTAACAATCATATTAAATAATAATAATAATAATAATAGTAATAATAATAATAATTACAATTACAACAGCCAAAAAAAAATTTAACAAATTTTCGTTTTCATTTTTTTTTTTCACTTTTACATGTAAATAAATTCGATTGCATGTCACGTCATTTAAAAAAAAGAAACAAAATAATAATAATAATAATAATAATGATAACAATAATAATAACAATAATAATTAAATATAACTTTCTTTCATTTTTTTTTTTTTTAAAAACAGTAAATTTTGTAATAATCTAACAAAGTTAAGTTCAACACAAAAAAAAAAAAAATCATCTTATTATTAATAATTATTAATAAATTATTTATAATTATTTATTTAAAAAATAAAAGAGTTCTAATTATTACCTATTAATTAAATAATTATTTATTAATACCTTTTACTAATACCATAATCAACTTATAATATTTCATTCCCTTAGAAGACAAACAAAAAAAAAATTTTTTTTTTCCCCCTACATCATCATTAACTATTATTATTATTATTATTATTATTATTATTATTATTGATAACGAGCGCGCCAAAACATTTGTTGAAAAACAGTGTTGCCAACAATGATGCAGGGAAAAAAAACCAAAAAAAATTAAAACCCTGGAAATTTTGTTGAATAATAAAAGTAAAAACCAACGGAAATTTCATCATATTATTATTATTATTATTATTATATCAAAAACGTTTTCTTTACTTTTTAAACCTACTACTATTATTATTATTATTATCATTATTATTATTATTATTATTTTTAACGGTTAATTAATCGAATGATGTAAGGCTTACTTCTTGTACTGTATTGTCTCATTTGTAAAAAACCATTTAACCAAACGAAAAGAAAAAAAAATGATGATGATAATAATAATAATAATAAAATACATAAAAATTTATATATTTATGTATACATATATAATATATATTTTTAAAAAAAAGTAATAATAATAATAATAATAATAATAAATAAACTTAAATAATATTGTTGTAAGTTCATGAATTGGACGAATGAATTATTATTATTTAATTATAATATATAAAGAATTTAAGTTGTGAATAATAATAATAATAATAATAATAATAATAATAATGTACAATTAATATTTAGAATCCTTATATTATTATTATTATTATTATTACCGTATTGTTTATAACAAATTATTTTTGTGATAATTGTTTGCACCTTTTTATTTATAAAACCGAATTTAATAATTTTCTTTTTCCATAAAATAGTACTGTTATTATTATTATTATTATTTTGTACAAAATTTATCAACATTTTCAACCGAAAAAAAATATATATATATGTTATCACTTATCAAATCAAAATTTACAAATGGGGGGAGGGAGGGAGGGAGGAGGGGCATTTACCATCCATTATGATGAATAAAATGCTCCTTCATTTAATTAGAAATTGTTATCGTTACTTCTCTTTCTCTCTTCCCCTCTCTCTTCCCTCACCCCCACCCTCTCTCTCTATTAGTGTGTGTGTGACGTGATTCCATCAAATTTAAATATTTTCTTAATTTGAAAACGCGTGCACCACCACCATTTTTTTTTCTTTCGTTCTTTCATTCGTTCGACAATCACTGACAATGATTCGACAATTTTTAACCTCCTCGTGGACGATTTGATTCTTATGCCGCGATTAAAAAAAAAAAATTATTATTACTTTTATTATTATTAT